AAGGTGGATGACGACCGAGAGACGAAGAAAGACGGCGAGGAGAAGAGTAAAGGCCCCGGGCGAGGTCACCCACCGCCCCCGCCCTCTCGCCCTCCCGCACACCCTGATTACCCGCAGCCGGGGGCGGGACACACCGTAATGAGCATCGAAGAGGTGCTCAACTTCCACTAGCAGTGTTTTCCTAGTCGAGACGTCTTGTCACCGACGCCATTTTATTTTTTAACGTTCCACTCTTTGTAAAATTATTTTTGTATTCAATTTTCGAGTTAATTTTCTCTTTTGGAGTCTCGTCAAAATCTGTGTGGAGGTATATGTACATATGTATCGGTTCGAAATATGCTCGAGTCTGGGAACACATGTTACGAGTAGACATAGTGAAGCGAGCATAACGGATACACTTGGTATACCAAAGTAGAAACGTTACGGTAGAATTTCCCGATTAAAATCTAAATTAAACAGATAATTCTGATAATGTAAGCACTGTAGATTGGAGAATCATAAATTAGTTAATCAGTGGAGAATTTAATGATACAGTAGTACTCGTAACGAAGCAGTAGTGTATTGAGACAGTGGTTTTCGAATAATAAAACTATTAAATAAAAATAAGTAATTAACGAAGAGACAGTGAAATCTAGCATACAGTATATTCTTATAGAATGAGAGAACTAAACAGAGAATGATGACGGGATTAAAGAAGAGAGCAATTACGTGTATCTGTCGAAAGCGGAAGTGATACGGTTCTAAAGACAGATCGGACGTAATGTGACCTCGATTCGACGGTACCCGCTGAGAAGGTCGCAGGGATCGTGGAGGAACAACGAAGAGGGGAGAAGCTGAATACAAGAGTAGCCTGGTTGCTTGCTTGTCGACGGAGACAGCCGGATGATCGAGCGATGTTATTTTAAGTTTTCCGTGGGGGCTCTCCCGTCTTGTCCTAATCGGCTGTCAGCCACCCCCGTGGCCTGGGGTCGCAGGCCACCCCCAGGACACGACGTGCCGACGCTTTTACGCGTGCTTCGTGACACGGAAAAGGAAAGACGTCTATGTTGGCAAGAGAAAAAAAAGAACTCCCGCTGACGAGATTCCCCTTTTGTACGAGGAGATTCGCGCGGAGAAATCATACCCCTCGAGGGGTTGGATTCAAAACGCTTTACACTCTCATAACTGGAACCTGTTGATTCTACAGCGTCGAAAATCGCCGACACCCCTCGACGTACTCGAAAACGTTTTACCACGTGCTTCGTCATCCTGATTGACTAGCGACCACCGCCGATGGAACCACTAACTCATCCTCGCAGTCGAACTGTTTTAGCGCACGGTTTATGAAGGAGAAATTCACCAAGTTTCGGAGCTGCAAATTAGCTGGTACAATTTCTAAATTTATGGGGTTCTTGAATTTGGAAATTATTGGGGCTTCTGAAGTCTTAATACAATTGCATAAATTTGAAAATTCTGGGAATAGTGTAGCTGTATGCTACTAATTTTCTAGACTGATAAATTCCTACATATGGAAACATTCATACATGCATACATTCCTACATGTCTACATTTCTATATCAACAAATTTGAAGATTTCTAAATTCTTAGATATCCAAATTTCTATATTGACAAATTAGAAGATGTCCAAATCTCTACATTGCAAGATCTCCACATCCCCACATCTAATTCCCAAACTCCTACACTTCAAATCCCCAGATTTTCAAATAACCTTAACACACCCTGAAAGCTCATAACTTGACTTCACTGTTGACTAACGTTGAATCAGTATCGAATATATCGACCAAAAATCGATCAGAAGGTACAATCGAAACGATAAAACCGTGAAGGAAGAGAAATTCCAAGCGAGTGCTCGAACTCGGAACAGACCGTGAAGATGAAGTCGCTCCAGGGAAGTTAGGATGACCTCGGTGGGTCCTGCGGCTCGTTTGATGGACCTCGTTCTGTCCTTCTTTCTCCCTCGACTATTTCTCGTCCCGTGGTGTTCACGCATTTTCACCGGATACCCGTTTACACCGCCCGGTTCGGTGGCACATATTACATATACCTGCGGAAAGGAGGCAGAACAAAACCAAGGGAGGAGGAAAAAAGAAGAAGAGAGAAGGGATAGGGGATTTCTTGGAGCCAGCGTGCTTATTGCGTGATATTAGCCACGGTGGCTGCCAGGGTAATCATAATCTCGAAAGAGGGACAAAACACGGGTCCCGAATCGCATAACGCTGAATTTTACGACTTCTGGCACACAGGACAACCTGGACCGGATGTAACGCGACTTTTTGCATCCCTCTAACGTTCCGACTTTTACGCGTGCTTCGTGACACGGAAAAGGAAAGACGTCTATGTTGGCAAGAGAAAAAAAAGAACTCCCGCTGACGAGATTCCCCTTTTGTACGAGGAGATTCGCGCGGAGAAATCATACCCCTCGAGGGGTTGGATTCAAAACGCTTTACACTCTCATAACTGGAACCTGTTGATTCTACAGCGTCGAAAATCGCCGACACCCCTCGACGTACTCGAAAACGTTTTACCACGTGCTTCGTCATCCTGATTGACTAGCGACCACCGCCGATGGAACCACTAACTCATCCTCGCAGTCGAACTGTTTTAGCGCACGGTTTATGAAGGAGAAATTCACCAAGTTTCGGAGCTGCAAATTAGCTGGTACAATTTCTAAATTTATGGGGTTCTTGAATTTGGAAATTATTGGGGCTTCTGAAGTCTTAATACAATTGCATAAATTTGAAAATTCTGGGAATAGTGTAGCTGTATGCTACTAATTTTCTAGACTGATAAATTCCTACATATGGAAACATTCATACATGCATACATTCCTACATGTCTACATTTCTATATCAACAAATTTGAAGATTTCTAAATTCTTAGATATCCAAATTTCTATATTGACAAATTAGAAGATGTCCAAATCTCTACATTGCAAGATCTCCACATCCCCACATCTAATTCCCAAACTCCTACACTTCAAATCCCCAGATTTTCAAATAACCTTAACACACCCTGAAAGCTCATAACTTGACTTCACTGTTGACTAACGTTGAATCAGTATCGAATATATCGACCAAAAATCGATCAGAAGGTACAATCGAAACGATAAAACCGTGAAGGAAGAGAAATTCCAAGCGAGTGCTCGAACTCGGAACAGACCGTGAAGATGAAGTCGCTCCAGGGAAGTTAGGATGACCTCGGTGGGTCCTGCGGCTCGTTTGATGGACCTCGTTCTGTCCTTCTTTCTCCCTCGACTATTTCTCGTCCCGTGGTGTTCACGCATTTTCACCGGATACCCGTTTACACCGCCCGGTTCGGTGGCACATATTACATATACCTGCGGAAAGGAGGCAGAACAAAACCAAGGGAGGAGGAAAAAAGAAGAAGAGAGAAGGGATAGGGGATTTCTTGGAGCCAGCGTGCTTATTGCGTGATATTAGCCACGGTGGCTGCCAGGGTAATCATAATCTCGAAAGAGGGACAAAACACGGGTCCCGAATCGCATAACGCTGAATTTTACGACTTCTGGCACACAGGACAACCTGGACCGGATGTAACGCGACTTTTTGCATCCCTCTAACGTTCCGAGTTGATGTCAACAAGAAGGGCATCTCTGCGACACCCCCTCAGAGAGTGATCCACTAAATTAGGATTAAATCTACGGATCTCTGAGTTCTTGAAGCATCATGTCTCTATATTTTCAAATTTGTAAATTTCTGGATTGCTGTGTGTTCATATCTATGTAACGTATCTATCGAGTACATATGATGTACTCCAGTTCTTGAATGTCCACATTTTAAATTAGATTCCTTAGTATTCAGATAGAATATTACCTAAATGTCTAAATTTCTGATTCGATATTTCTGATTAGATATCAAGATATCTAAATGTCCAGATCCCTCAATATCCCGATCTCTAAGTATCCAGATCTCTAAGTATAAAAATCTCCAAATATTAAGATATCTAAGTGACCAGATCCCTAAATATTCAGAACTCTTAATATTCAGATATCTAAATATCCAGATCTCCAAATATCCAGGTCTCTAAATATTCAGATCTCTTAAAATCCAGATATCTAAGTGTCCAGACCCCTAAATATCCAAATCCCTTAATATTCATATTTCTAAACATCCAGATCCCCTGACATCCACATCTCGAAATATTCAGATCTCTTAAAATCCAGATATCTCAGTGTCCAGATCCCTAAATATCCAAATTTCTAAATATCCAAATCCCTTAATATTCATATCTCTAAATATCCAGATATCTAACTGTCCAAATCTCTAAATATCCAAATCCCTTAATATTCATATCTCTAAATATCCAGATCCCCTAACGTCCACATCTCTAAATATTCAGATCTCTTAAAATCCAGATATCTCAGTATCCAGATCCCTAAATATCCAAATCCCTTAATATTCAGATCTCTCAAAATCCAGATATCTAAGTGTCCAGATCCCTAAATATCCAAATCTCTCAATATCCAAATCCCTTACCATCCACATCTCTAAACATCCAGATCCCCTAACATCCACATCTCTAACTCCCTAACTTCCTAAATATCCAAACAGTCCCCCAAATCTACAAATACACAAATCCAAAAGCGAAGACTCCCACCCCCCAGATTTCTACACTCCACTATCTCCAATTTCGACAACAAAAGAAGAAAGGAAAGTGTCTGAAAGAAATGGCAATCGTAAAGTTTCTTGCGCAGCGTTTGAGGACTCTGAAACGACGGATCCGAGGCACGGAAGATCGAAAGTGGCAGGACATAAAGCAAATCTCGCTTTCTATCTGAAACGATCGTTCCCGGAATCCGATCTAATTTGCACGTTTGCATAAACGATTTCCAGGTAATAAAGGACAGAGATACTGTTTCGCAATATCGTATGAATGGAAACGCTCGAGCAGCAGGAAGGAACATTCCTGTTCGCGGAAGACACCGCGCAAGGTTCCGCGATATTTCTCCGGGTTGAATCGAGAAATCGTGAGTCACTCACCGTAAGGTCGATCCGCAACTGGCTGCTCGCACGAGTCTGTAACAGAGAAGCAAAAGTTTGATAAGCAAATGTTGAGATTAAACGAAGTGCAATTAGGACTTGTATGAACTTTGCATTCTCATACTTGAATCTTATACTCCCGCAAGATCTTCTTGCCTCGGTATATCATTACGCGGATTGTTTATTCACGACAATTTGAAAACGGGTAATAGCGTAATCAGCCATCGGAATGACACAGCTATTACGTTTTCCAATTTGCATACGATTATTCAGCGTTACAAGGACCTTCGCAATTCTCGTACCAAATTATTAGCAATTTACCGGATGATTGCGCGTGAAATGATTTCATCGTGGGAATAAAATTAAGAACACGGGAAGGAAATTTTGGAGTTTGAAATGACTGAGCGACCCAGAGCTTGTAAATGTCTTACTCAAGGTGATCGTATACGGGTCTAATAGAAGCCGCTAGGTAGGTCATCGGATGTCATAAACGCTCCACGAAGTTTCTTCGATGGTGCACCGCGTGTTAATAGCCTCATTAGATATCCTGGGACAGTGACGTATACGAGCGGTCGTGGACCACCGACCCAAGCATACCACCATTATAAAACTTAACTACAGTAGACTTCCGTTATATTGCCTCCACTCTGGTCGAACTCAAACCTTATTATTCCACGTATGAAATGGTGCGAAATTCATGAGATCATGTTTTACTATGGACCACGTTTAGGAAATACAATCACAAAATGATTTCCCATAAACTGATTATGAAAATTCATTGAAAATAGAAAGGATATATGAATGATGTATGAAATATGAAGATACACGTTGTTCACGAACTTTTGTTCATAACTGCATGTAATACTGTTAATGGACAAGTTAAATAATTATTTTTAGAGTCAGAGTTAAATTGTAGTAGCATCTGATATTCGATCTAAAATTTATTACTACATGTGTATCATATGTGTTATACTACATATAAGATTAAAATGTTCTGAACATATAAATGTGTTAATGTATAAGATTAAAATGTACCAGACGTACAAGACTAGTATGTGTCATATGTAAAGAGTCATATGTAAAAGACAGAAATTTGTATGATAAGTAGTTTCTTATTCCAGGAAAAATTTGTCCAATCTCGAACATACAGCCTGGCGAAGGCAGTGACCCTTGGGGGTATAATAATGGACACGACAAGGCAGGGACGATCGAAAGTACAGATTAGATTCGACAGGACAAAGCATCCTGCATCTGGTATTCCGTCGAACCTGTCGTCGACGGCACAATCTGACATTGGCCAGGAAAAAACGACGATGACAAACCTCAAAAACATTCCTATATGCAATCTTCGTGTTAGCAGTGGTACAGTATGTCTTATTAACACTTTCACTAACAGAAGCTATTTGAAGAAACACTAACAGAACTAACACTATTTGTCTTAGAAACTTTCATTTTTCAAAAGATGGACGTTCAATATTGAACAGTTTCAAGAACTAATCCTCTCATCTGATTTTAATAAATAAATTGATTCTAATAAATCGAAGAGTTTATGGTATAATCGAGCGTTCATGAAATAGACTAGGTAAAGCGTAAACCGCGTCAGACCTGTAATTCTATCAAGATAAGGTGAATCTTCCTGAGAATAAATTTAGCAACTGATACGAACTCCTTTGGCCGTTAAATCGCCGGCTAATTGCAACGGGGTTCATCCTCGATGGTGCGTGGCGGTGTGTGTCGCGTTAATTGCCGAGCGTTAGCCAGGCTCCTCCCTCTTTGCGCGTAGCTGGATGGATGGATTACTTAACACTTGTCACGCCTCGCTAATTAACATTCAGTCATCTCCCTGTCGGAAGTCCCTTCTCCTCCTCCCACCTGTGGAAACGGTCGACGGCAGGTGGAAAGTCGTTTAATATTTATCGACTATCGCGCGCGACCCCGTTGGATCCTCGGACCCGGGACGACCGGCTCTCCAATTAGAATTCGTGACGTTGCCTCGCGGTTCGCGGGAAATATTACAATACAACGCCGCTATCTACCGGCCTGCCAAATCATCGCCTGTGTAGGATTTAGGTTTTCGATTCCTTCGTTGTTCTTGCATTTTATTTGGATTTCATATGTGGATTTGGATGACACTTTTGGTATGTTTTCTCTAAAACCACATCATCAGATATGCAGCAGATTAATGTAGGACCTTAACCTATGAACCCCTTGATCTTTTCAATATGTGTGTCAGTCGGAGTGACATTAAAATAAAAATAGAAAGTTGTTAAGTACATTTTGGATTTGGGGATCTGTGTTTTAGCGAACTGATGGATATTAAATTCCAGCCTTCATCATGCTGCAGATATAATTTTTGTTTGTCGTATCTGAACAGTAAGGCGTGACACGAGTGACATAATATGAACAAAAGAATTAATATCTTAATGAACCTTGTAGATAACTCCGCCTAAAAAAGTATGAATTCATAACAATCAAAATTGACAACTGCGCATTTATGCACACAGTCATACACAATCGATAGCATACAAAGTTAAAAGAGGTGAATGGTAGATGAAAACAGGGTGAACCTTTGTTACAAATTAAAACGAAGAGATTAGCCGATGGAAATAAGATCCCGGAAGCAAGTGCGACCGGCGAGGCAAGAAACGAACAACGCAAACTATTATTTAACTCTAATTGATGATGGTTCGTGGGCTGTTCCACATTGATGGTCATCGATAATCCCTAATGATTCCACCGTTTCGCGCAACCGCTGAGGGGCACGAAGTCGAGCGCGGACAACCCGCCGATCCTTTGGTAATACAAACACCCGCTAAATGGATTAAAAGAATGATTATTGGCCTGTACGTGACCGAACTGTCGAGTCATCAATACACTTCCAGCCGTTCGCCCGAAAATGGTACACCGATTACTACCTGCGTACTTTCTTTCTGTAACCTTTCATTCTCGCGCGTGTTTCTCAATCGTACCTCGATCTATTCGAACGAAATGAAGTCGCAATTACGTAGATTACTTCATTACGGCTTGTACTTTCGATCGCGATATACGGTTGATTAACATAAAATTCGTTCGGGTAGCGACTGTTTCAAAAGTACTTCAATTTCTTGTTCTATAACAAATATACAAGGCACATGTCTTATTCTGTAAGAAATGTAGCAGTCACATGACGCACTGCTATTAAAATGTTATGAACCAGACTCGTATTGAATTCACAGTAAGTGAATTCAAATTATAATCTACATCATGAATGATCGCTGAAGGCAAAGTATGCTTAACAATTTAATTCTAATTTAACAATTTAATTCATTCTAAATATGCAAATTTTTATAAAAATTTCAGCCCACCCCGTATAACCAGACCCCCGTATGACCAGAGCCAACACAGAGGAATTTGAAACTCCGTCAGAAGAAACGACAATGTAAGCCTAAAATTATGTAGTCACGGTGGGTCTGATAGGCACGGTGAAACGAAGCGTCACAAAGATGGTTAGTCTTGGCACAAGATCCTTATGGCGAATCGTTCGCGGCTACTCCGATCGGTCTACCTCAGACTTTTTCTCTCTCTCTCTCTCTCTCTTGGTCTTCCATGGTGAAAAAGAACGTTCCAAGTACAAACGCACCCGCGCCGATGATTAACAACCAGTCCCAGCGTATATCTCCGGGGCCCGACGAGCGGGCTAATCGATTAATATACGATATCGAGCGCGCACGTCCCACGGCCATTGTTTGTTGTTAATTACACTGATACATCTATTCGAGACGGGACCAAGAGGCTCGGTTGCGACCGCGATATTCGATGGGTCGACCGCCTGCCGGCCGGTATTCGATCCCCGACAGGATTTGAATCGAACTTTTGACACGTACCGAGTCGCGGTACGAAATACACGATGTGTACACTCGGTGGGCAGAAAAAAATCATCGGTTTACAAATCTGATAATTTACAGTAGCTGTGATTTACTAATTTTTGAAGTCTAAAGTCAAATCTCTGAATCTTTAAATACACTGTTCTCTAATTATTAAATTTATAAATTTTCATACTACAGTCTTTAGTTATTAAATCCCTATTTTTACATCCCTAAATTTCTAGTTCAATAAATTCCTATGTTTCTAAATTCCTAAATTTCAAAATTTGGAAGTTGCTGAATCACAAAACTGACAAAATCTCAATTCTGAGATATCCAAATCCTCAAATACTTATACTTCAAATTTTACAAATCCCCAAAATCCCTATACCAAAAAATCGCTAGATCCCAAAATTCCTAGATTCAAAAATCCCTAGATCCAGAAATCCGTAGTTCCAAAATTCCTAGATCCAAGAATCCCTAGATCCCGCAAAACCTGGATCCCAAAATTCCTAGATCCAAGAATTCCTAGATCCCACAATGCCTGGATCTCACAATCCCTAGATCCCACAATCGCTAGATCCCACAATCCCTACATCCCACAATCCCTACATCCCACAATCCCTAGATCCCACAATCCCTAGATCCCACAATCGCTAGATCCCATAATCCCTAGATCCCACAATCCCTAGATCCCACAATCCCTAGATCCCACAATCCCTAGATCCCACAATCCCTAGATCCCACAATCCCAGGATCCCAAAATCCCTAGATCCCACAATCGCTAGATCCCACAATCCCTAGATCTCACAATCGCTAGATCCCACGATCCCTAGATCCCACGATCCCTAGATCCCACGATCCCTAGATCCCACGATCCCTAGATCCCACGATCCCTAGATCCCACGATCCCTAGATCCCACGATCCCTAGATCCCACGATCCCTAGATCCCACGATCCCTAGATCCCACGATCCCTAGATCCCACGATCCCTAGATCCCACGATCCCTAGATCCCACGATCCCTAGATCCCACGATCCCTAGATCCCACAATTGCTAGATCCCACAATCCTTAGATCCCACGATCCCTACATCCCACGATCCCTACATCCCACAATCCCTACATCCCACAATCCCTACATCCCACAATCCCTACATCCCACAATCCCTACATCCCACAATCCCTACATCCCA